TTGGAAAAATAAAGATCTGTTTTTGGACAAGTGTATGTGATTGTGGCTGATTCCTTTGCAGTTTTTTTTAAAGAGATTATTAGAAAACTTTTTCTAAGCTTATTTCTTTAGCTTACATTACATAGTGCTTGGTTGTTAAAAACCGGCGCCTTTTGCTCATCAGTTTAGTCATTTATGTAGACCATAAACCTTGGGGATGCTGACATTTGCTATTGCTCAATGATGATCATCCTCCTTTGATTACCTAGTGAGGTAATATGAGAGGACATGGAATAATTTCACCGGCGAACTGAGAGCAAATAGCAAGAACTGTACGGTGTCTCTTAAGGTTAAGGTTTTCTTTTAATGGGAAAACAGCTGGTTTCAGATACCATCAATAGAAGCTTTTGGCTGAAGGGCCTCAGTTTAATACCAAGGAATAATTGGGGAAATGTTTTTTTCAAAGCACTTCTTGAGAAATGGCTATGGGAAGACGGTTGTTTCACCACTGTAGCCAGTAAAAGGGTTTTTAGGGCATCCCAGAGTCAATATGCATTCTTAAATAGTTTAGAAGAATCTGCTTAAAGTGCCTTGATGAAGATGGGACAAGTCTTACCTGTTCATGTGCTGATGAAGAATGGCAGTGTGGTACTTTGACATTGCATGTTAGATGTGGAGTATGCTGCCTTCACCTGAAGGAAGCATGCGGACTGCTAACTTTTGCTGGTGTTTATGCACTCAGCTTTTATGAGCAAATGCATTTGTCTTGGAGCAGTGGGATATGTATATTAAACTGTAGACTGTTATCAGCTTATTTGGCTTGGGAGCTTCCACAGCAATCTGAAATAAATGTTTGACTTGTAAGGTGGGCATTTTCCATTAGGCTTTATGTTTGTAAGAGTTAAATGAGATGCATTAATGGGAATGCTCTTTGGGGATGGTATTCCCATCTGTTTTCCCCCTGATGCATGCTTTTGTGAGTTATTTTATACTTTACTGTGAAGACGGGAGTGGATTTGCTGTATCATCCTGATGGGGACATTATCAGCCATGAATAAGTGTTGGGTAGTTTTAAACCAAGTTTTATGGGAGCTGTGTTTCTGGAGTTTTCCACTTCATCTTGGTGATTTCGAAGGTTGCTGTGCAGGCAATAGCTGATCATGAGTGTCTGTTTGAAATCTGTGTGGGCTGGGAAGAGCAGGAGGGCGTGCTTTCCTTCATCTGCATTCCCAGAAGTGATGGAAAATGAAACTGGGTTTGCGAGAGAAGAGAGCCTTTTTAGGTTTGCTGGGATGTTTGGAAGGACAGACTGGCAAAGGCTTAACCTTGTCATGTGTTTGTAGGTGCTGCCTTCTGGTTACTGCTGGGCTGCTATGGATTAGACCCACTTGCTGTGATCAGCAGTTAGCTATCCTGACGGCTGTGCCTACCCAGCAAAGCCATGCAGCTTTGTGTGGCAGCTGCAGCTGCTTATCCTAACAGACTTCTGTGAATTTTGTTCTGTTCCACAATGATTTTGGAAAACTTCCTGGAGAAGGTTGCGAAGCTATAGATTTGATAGTTGAGCTAGTGCAATTTCAGTTTTGCAGACAATTCAGACTTACCATTCTGGAGCTGGTGGTCACATTACCCTTGTACAACAGGTGGAGAGTGGAGTGCTCATGGACCAGCACAAGCTGTTATGCTTCTGTGTGGTGCTGTGCATTCCAGGCAGCCTAATTCAGAGGTGAGGGCTGAGGTGTGTCAGTCCTTACTGCCTTGAACTACTGCAGCTGGTTCCCTTCCTCCTCTGCTGAATACTCAGACACAGGAAAACCTGAGCTGTCACCTTCATCTCGTGCATCACTCGTGCCAAGATCTGAGGTTTCTTGGGGGCTTTGTAGGCAGTGTGATGCATGGTAATGCATTGTGTGAGTGGGAACGGTCAGTGAAAGGGCAGAAAGGACTGGGGAAGAGAATCTGTGCCTGAGGAACAAGGAAAGTGCAGACATCTCACATTCCTGGGGGTAGGCAGGTAGGCAGCTGCCACAAGGGCATACAAATGAATGCTTCTGTAGTCTTCCGGCTTAGTGATAGAAAGAAATGCTGACATACGTTGTCTTGTCCTTGATCCAGTCTGTGCCTCAGCATCATAATCTGAAGGATGGTATCCTGCATGGGTACTGTGTCGGGATGGCCCCAGCTGGTCCAGAGGGTGCAGAGAGCTGTGTGAGCACACCTGTCAGAGGATGTGATCTTGGCTGTCCTGACACAGGTCCTCCTGTGGGCCTTTGCAGAAACCTTGAGGTGCGGAGGGCGCCTGTAATTCGTGGTGTGTGAGGAAGGGCACAGTTCAGCTGGGCTTGCCATTTGTATGGGAAGTGCCTTATGATTAAGGAGTGCTGCTGGTGTTCCCCACTGTGTGTTGGCACTCTGGGGCTGCAAATTTGCCTTTATGGGAAAAAGGTACCTATGCCTGTTTAAGAATCAGGTTGCAGCTGGTAGATTTCATGCACTCATAACTGTCCTGGCTCAAGCACTGTCTAGGGGTGCAGCTCCTGTGCTCAGCACCTGTACAGCTCAGGAACCCAGAAACTGCCAAGCTCTGGGTGAAGCTCCTGATTCCATTTTCTGCTGTCTGGCTTTGGGTGGTAGCTCTTGAGCTGTCAGTCACCATTTTGCAGACTGCAAACTGCATTTTGCAAACTGGCCAGCCGCAGACCAATGAGGATTAGAAATGGGAGGCAAAGCCACACTCAAATGTGGACTGGAAACTCATGGGGGCGCAATGCACGCATGCTAGCTCACAACAGAGGTTCTCAATAGTGTTCCTGCACATAGGGAAGCTTTGTGGCTGCTGCTCATTGCCCCACATCATCAAGACAACATCAAGACAACATCCTCAAGATCCCCTGCCAGCCAAGCCCAGGGCTTGTAGCTGCCATTCCCGGAGGTGCTCAAGGCCAGAAGGGCTTGGGGCGGGAATACAACTTGGGCTGAATGGTCTTTGTATGAAAGGCCTTACAGAGACTGTAGGGTTGGCAGTATGGGACAACTTGTGCAGAGCAGTACAGACTGGTGCTACCAAGTAGGGTTTGCAGCTGAGAAGGAGATTCCTTGGAATGGCTTTGAAGCCCGTATGTCCAAAGGGGGGCTTGCTCTGTGGTCATTGCTGATCTGAGCTGCCATGTGAACAACCTGAGCCCAAACGGCTTCGGCCATGGCAAGGAGTTGCTTCACGGTGTGTTCTGCCTTGGTTTGTTCAGTCACATCAGTGTGTGACTGTCACCCCTTGTCCTTTGGGGTGTGGGCATTGGGCAGGACACCCTGAGCTCTGCAACTGGCCAGGAGCAAGAGGAGCTCAAGTTATGGGGATGATGTTTAGTGCTGCTGCTCTCACAGCTCAGCACCTGGCAATCTTCTGCTTGGAATGGACTCATTTTAATGCTGTTCTTTCAAGGGCATGCTGGATGTACCCTGATAGCTCTTCTATAAAGAAATGTTTAAAAATAGGCTGTGTTTGCAGCGTGCACAAGGCCAGAGACAAGTGGTGGTGCATGACAATGGGAGCAGATGACAATAGCATGAACCTCTGGAAACCAAAAGCTTTTAGTGATAGAGGAGAAACCTTGTTTATGAAAGGGAAACTGCATGATGGGGAGTGTTGATGGAGAGATTTCAGAAGCAATCTGGGGCTAAAAATGGCCTTGATGCTCCTGTAGGGGTTCTTGGACACTGGAGTAATACAAACAATAACAAACTTCGACAGACTGCTTTAACTGATGATGTTAACTGCTGGGAATCACACATAACCCTTCAGTACAGAACAGTGGTGGTGTTACCAGGTGGAGTTTCTGAGCCACAAAGGGAGAATTTAAATGGGCTAGAGTGTGGGTTTTGGGGGCCAGTTGGTGCTGTGGGGTGCAGGGAGCCCTCCCCATTCTCATCCCAATGGTGCCAGGGGTTGGCTTATCTTGGGAGCGCCTCTGTGATGGCGGAACGGGGTGGGTGGTGTTGCTCTGGCAGCCTTCTCCTGAGCTCTTGAGTCACTGGAAGTTCCCAAAAAAGTGCTGAGCAGACATGGCATCTGGGCACTTGCTTGGGCTTAGGGAGAATGTAGAAGGGAGGATGAGAGAAAGTCAAGAACAGTGTGATTTGTAGTTGTGTACGTTGTGCTCTCGGAGGGAGGAAGGTGACAGCAGTGCCTGGCATGTGAAGAAGTGCCATCCTCTGTGCTTTTTCCTGCTGGCTTGTGTTATCTCTCTGACAGCAATAAAAATGGAGCATCCCTTGAATGAACTATTCAACTTGTCAAGACTTCTATCCTTGCAAAGTGTTGTGTTGGAGGGGTGGTGTTGGGGATACCAAGGCAATGGTTCACACAGGGATTTGAGCTGTTAGTGGATTCGAAGCTCATTTACCTGTTGGACTGTGACCTCAGGCCTGGCGTGGATCAACTTTCCTCAGAAACTTTATTTCTTATTAAGCTTATTTCAAACCCCAGGGTCAAGTGGAGTGTTTGAAGCTTGATGGTTCGTGATCTGCAAGGCTGGGGCTTCAGGCTTTGGGATTTTGACACCGGAGGGATGCATCCAGATGCATAACTGAGATAAAAGACTAAATTGTTTCCCTTGTAATGACTCGAGAGCCCAGCTGCGAGGTGACACATAATGCAGGACCTGTGGGAACCAGGAGCTGAGCTCGATGATCCTTGTAAATCCATTCCAACTCAAGATATTCTATGATTCTGTGATTCCGTCACCACTTGGGCTGGAGCCACACCCTACAAACCCACCGAGACCCCAAAGCCTCTCCGGGCCCATCGCTGCCCAGGCTTCCCCAGCATCCTTGGGGTCCGCGCCCACCGGGCGCTACGGGGACGGGCGGACGCAAACCGGGATCCGCCGCGATCCGGGAGCGCTCGGCGCGTGGTGCCGCGGGGAGGCGGTGGGCGGCGCGGTGCTGCCGGGGGCGGCTGCGGGGCGGTGCCGGCGGTGCCTTTAAAAGCGGGCGGCGGGGGCCGAGACGGGCGCTGCCGAGCTGAGCGGGGACGAGCCGGGCCCCATGCGCCTGCCGGGCATGTCCCAGCCCTTCCTGCTGGCTCCCATCGCCGAGTGTTCCCCGGGGCCGCCCGGCGCCGAGCTGCGGCTGGCAGTGCTGGGGGCCCGCGGCGTCGGCAAGAGCGGTGAGTGCGGGCTGTCCGTCCCTCCGTCCGCCCCTGTGCTCCCTATCCCTCCGTCCTAACGCGGCCGCTCTGTTTCAGCGCTGATCGTGCGGTTCCTGACCAAGCGCTTCATCGGGGACTACGAGCCCAACACGGGCAGCCTGTACTCTCGCCTGGTGCGGCTGGACGGGGAGCAGGTGGCCGTGCACATCCAGGACACGCCGGGCTGCCTCCAGGTACGGGCGGCTCCGGCCCAGACCCGCGAGGATCGGGGAGCGGGGGGTCGAAAATCTTTGGGGGGGGGAGGGGGGTCACAGAGGTTCCCAGTGGTCATCCTCGCTGGCCGGAATGTACGGCTCAGAACCCTTGAATTGTACAGGGTCACGAAGCCGTGTTTTGGGCAGATTTGGCTTTCAGCCCTTTTTCCTGCTACCCACTGAGCCGCACTTCGCTCAAGGGATGCCCTGCGCTGTGCTTTGCTCAGCTGCGGTCCATTCTCTGCCACTCAAGAGCTCAGCTTATGAGCGTCTGTTTCCTAAAAAGGAAACAGCTGGCCCGAGTCCCCCCAGGACACAGCTCAACCCCCTTAGCAGGGCTCTGTGCTGGGCCGGGTGCTCCCAGCCCCATGCCAAGTCTTGTGCCAAGCCCTGGCTGTGTCCCTCTACAGGTACAGGAGGACTGTGTGCAGGCACCGGACGCGCTGTTGAGGTGCATGAAGTGGGCAGAGGGCTTTCTTGTGGTCTACTCCATCACAGACCCCGGCAGCTACCAGGCGGTCCGTCCCCTCCACCAGCACATCCGTCAGCTCCATCCCGACGCCCGAATCCCCATCGTCGTGGTGGGGAACAAAGCGGACCTCCTCCACGCCAGGCAGGTGCAGGCCAAAGAGGGGCTGCAGTTGGCCAACGAACTGGGCAGCCTCTTCCTTGAGATCTCCACCAGCGAGAGCTTGCAGGGCGTCTGCGAGGTGTTCCAGTACCTGTGCCGGGAGGTCAGCAAGCTGCAGCACGCCGAGCGCCGCCGCCCGACCGTCATCCCGCGGCCGCGCTCCCCCAACATGCAGGACCTGAAGAGACGCTTCAAGCAGGCGCTGTCGCCCAGAGTCAAATAGAGCTGCTGCCGGGGGTCTAGGGGGGATGCCACAGACTTTATATTTTTGTAAGCTAGTGAATAAATAATAAAAAAAATCTTTATTTTTGTACTAATGCCAACGGTATGGACGTAAGTATTTTGGAGCGTGCGGTTTCCTTCTCGTTCTCTTTTGTTTGTGATGGGTTATTTTTACCAAAAAAAAAAAAAAAAAAGAAGAAGAAGAAAAAGAGAGAAAGGGCTGCATAGCAACTGAATGGAGATGGTTGGAGAAGGGGATTTGCATTTGCCGGGAGGTTTGGTTCTGCTCTCTTGTGGGCTGGGGTTTGCTGCTGTACTCTGCTCAAGTGAGTTCTTTAGGCATTGGTTTTCTGCTTGTAAGATGGGCATGGTGCTGATGTAACGCCCGTATAAAATGCTCAGCCAGCCTTAGGAGAAAAAAGGAAAAGCAAAAAAAAGCCATATTAAACATGAAAAGATAAGACTGTAATAATTCCAGTTATCATCTTTCCTCCTTCCTGCACCTACAATCAGCTGAGCAATGACATGCACTTAGCAGCATGCTGATTTCTGATCTGCTGCATTGTAGTCCCATCCCACAGTGCCCCAGGCCCCAGTGCTGAGCAGGAGGGGCTCTGCCACACGTTGCCATGGGATGAAGATGAGCAATCTGCAATGGATGTGTGTGTGGGACTGCTGCTGCTTTCTCTGGAGAAATGCAATTGGGGGGACTGGTGTGTGGGCTCCATTAGAGAAAATAGCTCCTTTAGAGGGAATCGCATCTCTATCCTCTCCAGGGCCATTTCCTAGCCATTTGGAAACAGGTCAGACTATATACTCTGATTTTACGTAAGCCCTACACCAATCAGAGTGTTTTTCAGTAACAGTTTGCTGGCTGTCTAAGCACAGAACGTGGGCTTTGCACTTCAAATGTGGCTCTGAAGTATGTGTGATGTGTTGGTAAAAATAAAACTGCTCCATGCCGAGTGGAAAATGTGGAAGTGGAGCAATCCGTGCAGGGGAAGGCTTGCTGGGCATACACAGAGAACTCTGCAAAGGGGTTGATCACCCCACACCCTTCCCAGGGCATGTGTGCAATATGGGCCCTACAGAGGAAACAGGAGGGCTGAAGGGAGGCAGTTGGAGACAGGCAGGGTTAGACCTAAACTGGGAATGGCAAGTGAAAAGCACGGTGACAGTCTGGACGAGTGAAAGTACTTCTTGGAATACACTGGAAAGATTTATTCACCATAACATGTGCTCTGCCAGGTCCAGGACTCTGACCTGGGGGCTTGGAAGTAGCAGTATGTGCTTAGTGGGAAAGACACTGCCCTAGTGGGGCTGATGACAGTGCACAGGACACACATTGACAGGGAAATCTGAAGGGGAACTTCACTGTCTTGAAACTGGAGGAATATCTATGTGTCCATACAACATGCTAAGTCTTGGTGTTGTCTGAGGACTTGCCTCTCACTGCAGTTGTCCAAGAGTGAGGAAGAGCAATGGGCAATGACCTTGGTGTCTGTTGCTCCTAAGAGCTGAGGATGTGGTCGTGGTACTGAGGGCAGCTTGGTCAGGAGGCAGCCGCTTTCCCAGCCCTTGTGGCTTCAGGAAAATGGCAGGGCATGGCCTGGCCTTTCTTTGTGATCAGAAGGAAGGATGAATCTCTCTCCTTCCTCCCACTGCCTCCGCAATGGAGCAGAATCACAGCAATTTCCCCCAGTAGGAAGCATGAGTGAGTTTTCAGAAGTGGAATCATGCACTATTATGGCTGCTACTACATCAGCATCTCCACCTGTCGGGCTATTTTGTCTAGATATCTCCCAGAAATTAAATCACCCATCAATGCTTTAAGACTTCACAAATTTTAGAATAGCTGATGCCACCAACCTGCTCTGCGTGATTCCATTCAGGAGCCACAAATCCCAAGGTGATGCTACATACATGTAGCTTCATGGAGGTTCCCCTTTCCTTCTGCCCTGGTTCAGCAATCTGGACCTAAGCTGTTCCTCACTGCCTCTTGGCACATTTGGTGTTCAGTGCTGCACATTCATACTGTGTTTCTGTGGTGTGTTTTGATGAGGGACCATGGATGAGAAGGACCACGGGCAAGAAGGACCACTCTGACCCTATAGGCAAGAACTGAGTACCAGCTTTGGCTGAGGAGCAGAAATGGCCAAGGCTTGTATGGACCATCCAGCAGAGATATGTCCAGAATGACAGTCCCAAAAAGTTGGTTATGAGTTAGAGCACAGCTTACAAAATAGCAGATCAGCTTCAGTTTTGGATAATTGGTGACAATTCAGGCTTCCAAAAAGCCCCACTGATTCTCAGCCTTGCTCTTAATCCGCTTTCCTCTCTCCATGTAGCTAAAAAAAAAAGGAGGGGGGAGAAATTGATTTCTTTTTATTGAAAAAGGTTTTGAGATAATTGGTCTATGATTTTTTCTCACCAGATTCATTGCTTATTGCTCCTGACTGAAAGAAGCAGGATCAGATATCTAAGTACATATCGTGGCTTGCTATGCTGGTGCATATTGTGGAGCACAAGCAGCTATATTCCATTTTGCCACACTAAAAAAGAAGGTACAGACAAAAAAGAAGGTATAGAAACTGAGTACCTGCCACACTGACCAACAATATTTCATTTACAGCTGAAAAGCAATGTAGAAAAGTTGGCACAATAATTGCTGCACTCTCTGGACCAATGATAACAATCCATAAGAGACAGAGGCCTCACGGTGTGTGATGCTGTGAACTGCTGCAGCCCCCAGCACCCCCTGTCCTTTGCTGAATAAGCATTGGGCCAAAGGGCTTTGCCCACAGGCCTAGGCTTGGTGAACAGTGTTTCACCCTTGATCTGTGCACAACACTCCCATTAATATGTATCTGTCCAGAAAATTGCACAAGGTTATTTAATAGTTCAGCCCACGTTACTGGGAAGTGGTAATAAATTCTTAGAGCTAGAATATTTCTCTTGTGAGATATTTGGCTCTTTTCCCATTACTGAAAACATCCTTTGCTCGGGTTGCAAATGGTCATGGTAAACATTGCATCTCCTCTCACGATGTTAAGCCAGTATCAGCAAATATTGCTGCTCAGATCAGCTCAGCTATGGGAAGAGGAAGCCGAGCCCTGCTTGTTAGGTGGATCACAGCACCCTTCCTGCAGCTGATATCCCCTGTCCCATCGCAAACAAACCCCACATCAGGACCACAAAGGTTCTGCCTATTGCAAAGCCTTCTAGAAGCCTTTAGGAAAAGGTTTCAGCTAAACCACGCTCAGCAGGCAGATTTGCCACACACATCTTTTCTAAAATGAAGACGATAGATCCTTAATTCCGGGAGGCAGAACTGGCAAGAGCCCAAGGAATGCAGATATGATGGAGAAATCACAGCAACAGCAGCTCTGCATTGGCAGTCCCTAGGATTCGCAGCAGCTGGGGATGTGTTGCAGGCACCTCAGAACGGATGTGATCAGGCTGGTTTGGGTGAAAGTGGGTGGGTTGCTTTCAGCTGCTGGGAGAAAAAGACCTGCTAAAGGACTGTTCTGTGGTTTTCATGCAACAAAAATAAAGGCTCGGGCTTAGTGTGAGACTGAGACAGAGTGCCTTCTCTGTGCAAGGGGCTTCCCAGCTCTTGGCTGTGTTGTGTTGTTAAGGACAGCTTTGAGACACAACTGGTGCTTCTGGGGTGAACCCAGGCAAGTGGGTTTGGCTGCATTTTCACTGAAATAGGAACCAGCAATTGCAGACCTTATTTCTTCTTAAAAGGCAATATAAAAGGTCAGCTTTGGAGATTTGATATTTTTTCCAACACAGAGCAAATGGATGCAGATGGAGGATAACCCCTGGAGTACCTCTAATACTAAAATAGGATGTGCCTGTCTCATGTCAGTGATCTTGGCATAGAAGAGCCCACTGAGATTTGTGGGCTTTTGGTAGGAGGCAGGGGCTGGTGCTAATTTGGGCTTGTACCTTGAAGATAAAATATGCATCTGGTTGTTGAGATGCTTGCTAATTTTAACTCCGGTTCTGAATAACGGAATAGTATTATTAGTCTGATGTAAAACTGCCCATACTTTATATGCAAAATTGCTGTCTCTGTAGTGAAAGAGTCTGCTTTGATTTGCCCAGATACTAAGGAACAGCAGACAATAAATATGCATGCAATTAGGCTAATTTCAATAAATAAATAGAGGTATTGCCTAATATATCTAAAATTCCAAGAAGCCATGCATAACATGCAATGGATTGTTTTCCCCATCCTTTGATTGTTTCAGGGATCTCTGAGCAAGCTTGCTTAGAAGATGTTAGAGTCCATTTACTTTTGTTAATGGGAGGCTCAGATGCAAAAGCTGGTGAAATAGAAGCAAGATCTGAAGCAGAACTGAGTCATTTTAACCTGGGTAATGAGCTGTCTTGCTGCCTGCATCATCCTCTTGCATGGTGAGGGGAAAACACTGCAGGAAATTGGCACTTCCATGCACATAACACTGCGTTCCACCCTTTGCTTTTTGTGCCCTCCCTTATCTTTACCATCCTGTTAATTCAGTCACCAGATCCCAAGTTTCTCAAGGCCCTTCTGGAGTGAAGCTCTGCCATCTCTGCCAAATGGAGATGGAACTCATTGCTTCTAATCTGTTACCATCTATAAATGCGCTGAAAGTGACCTCTGTGTCACCAGCTTGGTGACTGATGGAAATACTGAACAATATCAGCTCTTGTGTCATTCCCTGGGGTCCTCTGTTCATTACTGGCAGCCAGATGGCCCATCACAACATTGATTATTATTCTTTGACCTAACGGTCCATCTGATGTTCCGTTTATCTAACAGTTTATTCATCCAACCTATACTTACTGAGTTTTTACAAAGCGTCCAGTTGTCCAAGCTGTCCTTGTGAGCTTCTGAAGATGGGCAGCAGCCATGTAGTCACATCAGCATCCTTTGCTGAATTCCATCTTGTCCCATGGATGTGAATAACTTGTGGCTTCTCTTGGTAGACCCTCACTTGTTGCTCCTGCTGTTTGTCATCGCTCTCCTTCACAAATCATTTTGGACACATGAAGAGCCTTTGCCAATGAAAACTTATGCAAGAAGGGCATTGAATACTCTGGCC